CCAAGGGCAGCTCAGCTCCGTACTCACTAGATGATTCTGTGGTTGTAAGAGCAGGAAGAGGCCAGGTTGCTATGGAAACAGGAATCACAGAAAAGGCTCAGAAAGGTGAAGGAGGAAATGGACATAAATTCATAAGTGTGTCTATATATTTAAGGCATTATGATTAAGAAAAGACAGGGATGGTGAAGGAGATATTCTCTCACTGTTTTCTTCCCTGATTTATCAATGTGAATATACTTTAAGGAGATTATCAGAGATTTTGCCGACAAATCACTCTGACACATTGAGAAATAATATAACCCTCATTTACTCTTACCATGAATTACAGCTATTATGTGCTGAGCCCTGTGTTTTTCATACTTGATCTTTAACTCTCACAAATACCTACAAGGTAGGTAAATCTGTCCTCCATTTGAGTGGTGAGAAATCTGAGGTTTGGGGAGGCTGAGTGACTCATTAAGATTATGGAGCTGTGCACAGAGGTGGCAGAGCTGGGATTTGAACCAGGCTGTTTCCAGCTCCCAAGCCGGACTCCTGTTGCAGCGGTACACAGCTTGGAACGACCCAAATGGGGTGGTGGGCCTGCTCCTGACTCAATCAGGTGCAATAAGAGGCTTCTGAGCATGGGGCGGGGTCCCCTCCTGTGGCTGTGCCCGAAATGCAGGGACTTCTGACGTACTAAGGAGAGCTCAGCCAGCCAGCGGCACACCCCTGCCTGCACCCTGTCTGCTGCCTTGGGCATGGGTTGGCATGACACTCTGGGACTCACTCAGCAGCTGTCTCACTTTGCTCATTCCCCCCAGAAAGAGGTTCAAAACTGTAAACAGGGGAGGCCCGGAGCTCCTTCTACTGTGGAGGATGCAGGGGACACAGCGACAGGGCCACCAATAAGTAAGATTGTACAGCGAGGCTCAGTCAGATGATAAAGGCTGGGACTGACCAGGTGACATCATTGTCAGGCTTAGTGGCACTGCTCATGGGCGGGCGAGCACAGCTTGTGAACACCATGATGTTTTGTGCGAGGAGGTCAGGGGAGAGCAAGTAGCCCTCCTGGTTTATAGAGGAGAGAAAACGAGGCCCACTGTGGAGGTGAATAATGTGCCTACGGCCTGGCACATCTGCAAGCAGACAATGCTTATTTTCCCACAAATATTTACGAGAAATGTATGCATTTATGAAAAAAGCAAAAGGTCTAGGCTTTGCTTTCTAATTTCAGTGTCTGAATCCAACTGTGCCAATTAAAATGAAAGTGAAAACACAACACCCGCGAGGCATTTCTTATGAGCCTGCAGATAGAGTTTTCTGGGCAAATTCCTTTGGCCTCTCTGAATATCAGCTCGGGTCCAGCTCATTAAGCAGCCAGCACTGGGCCGGGATGCAGCAGCCTCAGGAGCCTGCCCGCAGCATATTCGGTCCAGAACCACACCCCTCACTTGCCTCCCCTCGGGGAGTGCTGCCGCCCAGGAATCGGGGAGGCCCTGTGCCTATTTCTCTTCTCGTTTTCTTCTCTACAACCCGGCGCTGCTTTCCGCCAACAGAGTTGAGTTATCACCTGGTGAAGGTGATAACACTAGGCAGACCCACTGTGGCTGGTGGCAAGCAACCTGCAGAGAGATGGATGAAGAAAATGATACTCACTATCTGGGTGAGACAATGGGACAGGAGTGGAAGAGCTAGCAGGAGCCACTGAGAAAAGAAAAATGAAGGTGAAAAAAAGAGATAAAAGATCATCAAGGCGTACAGATGCTGCATGAAAAAAACGGGAGAGCCAACGGTGGGACGTCAGTACAAGAAGCTGCAGTGAGTTAAAACGGGCAAGAAGAACACGGTGCTCGAGAACAGGTGGCTGGAGGACCAGCAGAGAGCAGGGCCATAGACCTGTGTGCCTGCCACGCCTGCAGCTCAGGTAAGGGACTGGGCCAGGAACAGCTTCAGAGGCCTGCGACCCTGCTGAAAACAAACGGCCGACTCAGCAGGGGCAGCTGTCCCCAGGGGAGTGGAGAGACAGGAGGAAAGGGAAAAGAGAAGGCCGGCTTTCTATTTTAGGTGTCTCTATGTGTGTTTGTATATAGATATATATTTATGCTGACACATATAATTGTAGCAAAACCTCTATGTCTCTCCCTAATTTCAATGTCTGAATAAAGTGAAAATGACGGTCCTACTTATTAATGTTTACTACCGATCGAGGTTCATGATTGTTTGGCATCTGGATGAGAAAAACCTCTGCTGCCCTCCAAAAAAAATCCCTACAGAATGTGATTCTCTGGATGCTGCTTTGTGTATGGAGAGCAATGCAAATAATACTGTTATTCTTGCTAAAGAAGTAACTCTAACCAATGTTAGCATGGAAAACGGGCAGAGATGGTGCATCCAAAACATTTGGACAGCTCTTCAGTTTTCCACTGGCAAATCTCCCCACCCAGATCACAAAACAAAGTCCCTCTGAGAGCTGGATGAAAATTAGGAAAAACGTCACCGTGTCCTCAACATTGCCTTGGTCTTCCTTTAACCTTCCAGATGTGGGGACCTCATTAAACCATGCAAGTACAATGTCACTGGGGTCAGAGCAAGGTAGGCTACTAACTCATCATGATTTGATGGTCTGGTTAATTCAGGTAAAAGTGTATCTCTTTCTCTATTTTTTTTTTTGGCTTGAGTTGTTTGCATAACTGTCTATATTATTGTGGCAAAGGGACTGAGTTGTATGTGCTTTAATCACAATTTACAGTGCATCACCCCCCCCCCCCCCCCGCCAAGGCAATCAGAAGTCGTCAGCTGTTCACCTGAGAGTGTCTTAACAGCGTGAAGACATTGGTCCTAAAAATACATGTGACAGAGGTGCTTTCCTAGGTTGGAGTTCCATCTGTTTGTTTAAAGCCATAGCTTCCTCATAACCTTTACACACACATTTATGAACTTCACACAAGAACCTCCAAACAGGTGAGCCAAGCTTTCTAATCCAGCAGCTCAGAAGCAGGAGTCCTTGAGGTATTTGTGCTCTCTGGCTAGTTCCATCTGCTCATCCCTGCTTTGACATATTCATGCCTCTGAATGTGGAGAAGTCTATTATGGAACCGAGAAAGCAACCCCAGTATTGAGACATCTCAACGAACTTCAAGTGATGAGGTAATGTGAAATGCACTGGCCCTCGCCTAGCTCTCCCATCCAGGGCTGGCAGCGATGGCTCTCTGTCCAGTGTGCTAGCTCCGTTGATCCTGTACCTTCACTCCCTTGGGGTGAGGGTGCACCCAGCACCCAAATCTGGGGCTGTGTGTAGTTCTCTTTGTCTAAAAGAAGTTTGCCTTTTCGTTTTTAAACTGTAATTTTATTAAATGATTAAGAAAACTAACTGTTCATGCCACTAGCAATGCCTGCTACTGCATTACTCATGATCTACTTGGAATGCAGAGCTGACCCCACCATTTCCTACAGGGCCTCCTGGGATCTTGGTTAATTACCTATTTTCATATATCAGACAACAAACAACAAGGTCTGGAGGTCTCCTTTAAAAAAAATTAAACACTGACTTTCAAAGCAGCATCTGCTATGGGAATTCTCACCTTTACAAGGGCTGAGCTGGCAATGAATGAAAACCACTTATAGTCTTTGAAGTTCAAGGCCAGTGACTCCAATTCAGTTCTCAGAACCTAGTTACTGGTGAGAAACTCAAAGGGGCCTCCCCACAGCCTCCCTCTCAGCAAGGTAACTAAGCCCACATGGAGTACTGATAACCCACATCTAGAAGAGCAGGAACCGAAGATCAGGCTAAGGACGGTGTCAGGACCCGGACTGTGTTACACCCAGAGTGGTGCCTGCCTTCTGCAAGCAGCTGCCAGCCCAGAGCAGACAGCTGTCAGTCCCACCTCACAGCTCCACCCCTTCCTGTCTCCTGCCAGAACTGGTTCATTCAGAGCCACCTCTGCTGAGATAGTTAATTTAACACTTGCTGAAGATCTCAGAACGCCTACACCGAGCTACTTAGTTTCTGCTGTTGCTGCAAAATTTCTGAATTCATTTTTAAAAGATAAGCTTCCCTGAGTGTCTTTCAGGAACGAGGAGGTTTTTATGAAAAGAGTGTTCAGCTCTCTGAATACCTTTCTTCTAAGTCTCTTTGGGTACTACTTCCCCCCCCTATTCTGAGCACAGCCTAGGAAGGGGCCAGGCCACAGGGACTGACACGCGGGCATCTGACCAGGCAGGGAGATCGCATCACAGCTCTGCTCCCAGAACCGCGGGCCAGCTTCCTGCCACCCTTGCTCCCTGAATTTGCAGTAACAGCTTACACAATCAGGGTCCTTCCCAGGAAGAATCACCCCTCTCTACATGCTTGGCAGTAGAGTTACTAAGTAGCTGGTTAGTTTTCCCCAACATAGAAATGGAAGTTTGCAAGTACCTCCTGCTTTAGTAAAGAACAGGGTTGACTGAGCTGGGGTCTCACTCCCGGCAGCCCCCTGCAGGACATGCCATGGATTGGAATCCAACCTCATGCTATGCCCTGACAGACAGAACGAGGGCAGGAGAGCTCGATTCTTCTATCTCCTAAAAGCAAATGTGGAAATCCTTTCAAATTCTTTTTCCTGTGAAGGGATTTTGAATCGAGGCCTGGTGATGATGTGGTCACTTTTCTGGCATCCTGGCTAAAGATGAGGTGGGGCTATAGTGTGTTATTAAGAGATCACCTGCAGATGCACACTACGCTTGGCTTGGCAAACATCACTGCTGCCACAGCGTAAATGTCACACACAGAAATTAATACATAAACCAACTTCAAAAGACACAAAAGCTTCATGCTCTAAAACAGAAGGAGGGTTAGCTTCCGGGAGTAACCGATGGACATTAACCGGCACACAGCTAGGCTATGGTCAGTGTGGTTAGGGCCCGGACAGCAGCATCTACTTCAGCCCCTAGGGGACAGAAGAGACTGGAACTAAATTAATAACTAGGACAGAGATGCTAATGCCATGGGAACAAGTAGCAAGGTATGAAGAGGCACTTACGTGGAACAGGGGTATCTGCATTTCCCATGGATGGAACACAGATGGAAAGAAAAGACAAGAGATAGACCCAAGGGGGGCGGCGGGGGGAGGAAACAGATGTAAAAGAAATGACTAGGATCGCAGAACACAGGGCACTGGAAATTCAAATTATCAAATTATTTCACATCCAGAAAGAAGCAATTCCTGTGGGAGGAAGATAAGACAGGCTTTCTACTTTTTGGAAGAGTAAGGGGATCTCTTTCCAGGTCCCCAGTTTCAAAGAGAAGACAGCAAAGATCCCCGTCTGCTTTATAATTCCAGGAGTCAGCAGCCTGGGCCTCTGGGACCACTTGTGGAGTCTGTTCTCCACGGGGTCTCCTGCTCCTCCCAGGGCGGGCCTGTGGAAGGCTACCTAGAGCAGGGCTTGCCCCAGAGCTGGCTGTCCTGGGGGACGAGCGAAAGGAGGGCAGGCAGAGTGAGGGAAAGTGGGGATGACAGAGGGAAACAGAAATGCATCCCTGAATGGAACCGGGAAGAAGCGACTGGAAGTGTGAGAGGGAGGGAGACCCTGAGGTGCGTTCCTGGTGTGGGAAGGGAGGGGGAGCCAAAAGTCAAAGGCCTCCGCATCCTTTTCCCTTTGCTTTGCTGGGATTATGCCTCCGCTCCTCCTCCATCCCCAGCACCCCCTGCTTTTCTCTACGTTAATATCTCTGCTGCATCAACAGTCCCACAGCTCATTATGGGAACTGTCACTGTCGTTACCCTCATCCTTCAATCACAGGTGCTGAGGGCCTTTGTGACCTGTGTCAAAAAGCAAATCCCCAACCCCCCACTGCACACGCCCTCTAACAACCCCGGCTGTCAGTCTATGACAGTGTCACCAAGACCCCGAGAAAGAGGATAAAGGGACTGGGTGTCAGTCATCACTGAGGGCCAGAGAGCGGGGAGGTGGGGCCACCTCCAGCAGAGGCATCTGAAAGACAAAAGGCTGTCATCTGAACAATGGGTGGCCAGCTCAGGGTCCCCCAAGGCCCCCAGAAGAAGGGGAGCGGGGGAGAGGCAGGGCAGCTGGCTCTACTTACGGACTGGCTGCGTCTTGAACTCGGAGGCTGCGCTGATCTCGCCCAGACCCTTGCCGTTGAGGGCTGCCAGTCGCACTGTGTACGTCGTCTCAGGCTTCAGGCCCATGATGGTGACGATGCCTTCCATGCTGGCTGTTGAGAGAACATGGAAAGGATCACAAATGATAAGAAGCCTATCGGTGAAATGGTGCAGCCGCTGTAGGAAACACTATGGTGGGTCGTCAAAAAATTAAACACAGAATTATCACTGGATCCAGCAATTCTACTTCTAGGACTACGCACAGAAGGATTGAAGCAGAGACCTGGGCAGATATCTACACACCCACGCTCACAGCATTGCTCACAGGAGCCAAAAGGTGGGGGCACCCAGGTGTTCCCGGACACATGAATGGAAAAATAAAATGTGGTGCACACGTACGATGGAACATTATTCAGCTTTAAAAAGGAGGAAAATTCTGACACGTACTACATAAATGAACCTCAAGGACATGATGCTACGTGAAATGAACCAGACACAAAAGGATAAATACTGTATGATTCCACTTACACGAAGTACCTAGGAGAGTCAACTACAGAGAGACAGAAAGGGGAGCGGTGGCTGCCTGGAGCTGGGCAGGAGGGGAGGGGAGTTAGTGTTTCATGGGTAGAGTTTGGGATGATAAAGCTCTGGAGATGGACCCTGGTGATGGTTGCACAACAACGAGACTGGACTTAATGCCACTGAACTGTACCCTTAAAATGGTACATTTTATGTTGTATATGTTTTACTACAATAACACATAACTACATGCGGAGCAGGGTGGACTGGCCTCGCCAGGTTGTCACACCGAAGCAGGGCTTCTGCGTGGCAGGTGGTTGGGATGGCCCCTCCATCCTGCAGGGTCACAGGAACCAGGTTCTGAAGTGCCAGGGTACAGAGGCCAACAAGTCTACGTGAGACGTGACCGTTCGATGTTGCAGCATAGGGACATGAACGGATGGCAGGTGACAGCTCCTGGCCACCCCCAGTAGGTGAGAGTGGTGTGCTACCCTACCCTGTGGGCAGTCAGGGTGTCCGGATCTGGTGAAGGCAGGGGTGAATGTGTGCCCAGAACCAAGGGACTCCTCATTCTGAAGGAAACAGACTTTTCCAGACTCACCTTCCTTGGCATCGTACCACTTGGAGTGCCACATTTCCTCGCCCACTGCTTTCCACTCAGCCTTGTATTTGAGGATGGGCACCCCACCTGTGGCCTCGGGCTCATCAAACTGCACCTGTGCTGTGCTCGAATATGGCTCTACCTGGTCGATGGATGGTGAGGATGGGGTGTCTGTGGGGAGAACACAGGTGAAGGCCCAAGTGAGCTTCAGGCTGGACACAATTCGCAATTACGTCTTTGCGGTTTCTGCTCAGTCTTGAAGTCTTGTTGCCTGTATCCTATCCTCCCTGCCTGCCTCCCCACACGATTCTCTCCCCACATGCTCCATGCCCCGATCCTCAAGTCTCCATCGCTCCCTGCTTCCTCCTCAGGCTTTGCTGACCTGGGGCCTCTCTTCTCACTTTCCTGGCACCACTCAAGGACACCAAATGGGCCAGCAAGGGTTTTAAAAAGGGGGTGCAGCCGTAAGGGGTGCTCACCTGCTTGGACAAGGATGAATTCCAGAGACTCCTGTCCAATGCGGTTCACTGCGGTGCAGTTGTAGTTTCCAAAATCATTTTCCGAGTCCGGGGTCACCTTGAGAGAGAAGGAGCTCTTGGTTTACATGCCCATGGGATGGTTACAGCCTCAGGCCCTTATTTATTGGATTAAATTAGCAAAAAATAGAAGTAGTAAAGCAGGAATCATTGGCTCCACCCAAGCCTTAAGCCAGAGAGGAGAACAGAGAAGGGGCTGTGGAAGAAGACACTCTGTCTTCCAGGCCCTGGGGTTGCCCAGGAGACACAGGGGC